CCAGATGAGTTAATTCTACTTTATTGTAATGCTGCATTAACAGAATCTTGCAAGTCTGAAAGTACAGATCTCCTGCTGTCTCTTTTTATAGCCTGAGAAGTTAAGGATCCTTCCTTAGTTTCTTTCTGTGCCCATTGTGTAGCTGAGGGCTCCCCCCTCTTATCTGATTGTTCCCTAGGCAGCATCTCTGCCCCCCATCTCCCAAGGTCATTCCCACATACCATTACAGATACTTTATAATTATTACTCAAACTCAGTTGAAGGTGTGCAGTAGGAAATTCAGAGTTAAATCAAGCTTATAAAAATGCACCAGACTGAGGAGTATTGTGTTACTTAGGCAAAAAAGAAAAAGCTTTAAATATCTGTGTGACAGACCAGGGCATTCATACCTCCAACAATGTGAAATAGGACTGGCTGCGAGAGCCCTTTGTCATATACTTTAGAAATCACCCCTAATATGTTTTACAACAGTTAACAAACTTCAGCCTAAACACATGAATATTCAGATCTAAGAATTGCCTCTGTAGAAAAGAAATTGGTAAAATGGACAAGGAATGTCATATTATTTAGTCTCTTACATCCCATTCCCTGAGACAAGGTTTCACATAACTTCATTTTCAAACAATGCCAACAGTCTATTTGGATGGAAGATATAAAGGATTACCAACTACCTATCATTTATGCATTTGTAATAACTCACAGGTGGAAGATCTGAATAATTATTTATTACATTGCAAATTATATCAGAACCTAGAGCTAGATTCATCATGCCTTTGTTAATACAACTGAATCAGCCTAACTTAGAAAAAAAATGTATTTTCTGTTGACTGATATAGATGAACATGTAACAAAACAAGTTCCATTGTTTGCAATGGTTGCAAGGAAGATATGAAAGCAGACGTTGACAGATAGTGCTATTACCCCTATTAGAGGGGATGTATTGAACTGATATGGATTGTTGTAATTTTATATGAATTTTGCTAAAACCTATGGTTGCAAATAAATGTATATACTATACTACACCAGGCCACTATATTTTATCAATTCCAATTTCCAGCACAGTATGTTTATTAAAGTAGCTAGTATACTGGAGTCAGAAATGGTCCTAAAAATAAAGCAAAACAGTAGCTTTGCTAACTGAATTTACCAGACTTAGCTGGCTAAACCTATCAGGAATATAATCTTTGACGACATTTACTGAGAAATTTCCTGAGATACCAGAGAGATTGAAATGGAACAATTAATAACCTTGGGTAACTTGATCAGGTGTCTTCCAAGTGAATCTTTTGGTATCTGTTTAGCATTTGCCTTGGCTATTGGTAAATCACGGTGTTGGATTTGTGTTGGTTTTGGTCTGGACATGCCTTGATATGTATTGCTGTACAATATGATCTAGGAGTGCTTCACAAATAGGAGCTGCAGAGAGAACTGAAAGTTGCCAATATTTCTAGCAGCTCTGGAAAACAAGTTGAATACACTCATTCTGTAGTCGCTACTTATATAATCTAAGTTCAGGATCCAAAGATCTTTGTGGAGATGTTGTTGCTTTGTGGAGGAGATGATGATTAACTTGGAAGATTAGGGAAAGTGACAAGAAACAACCTCACCAGTATACCTTCTGACACCACAAATTTGGAGATCATCTTTGGATGGACAGGGCCTCCGCTTCCTCCGCCTCCTCCCCCCTCCGCCTCCCCCTCCCCCTCCTCCCTGACAACAGCTTTCAAAATGTCAAATGTACTGAGAGGCCCAGAAATTTACAGAGTAAAAGAGTTTATCTATTAATTTAAATTTGCAACCTTTTATAATCCCACCAAGTTGTTTGTTGCTGGACAACCGCTAAATGACAACGAAGAAATAGAATGCTAGGCACCTCCTTGCTGCTGCCTACTGATCATCCAGAGTTTGCACTTTCCTTTCTTGACATTATGGACTCTTTCAAGACATTCTGTTCCTGGAGACGAGTTCAGTGCTAGATGATAAACCTACAGTGAATCCTGCATCAGTCTTAGACTGAATAAAATCTAGGAATGTGACGAATACCCTAGCAAAAAGAAAGATGTAAGAATGATAACTGCTGCTCAAGATCAGTAATACAATTACAAACACAGACTGTGAGGGCTCAGTGAGTTTTGGCAAAATCAGGAGAACTGATAGGTTCAACCTGAGCTCTGAAAATAAAAGTTCCCTAAATTCTATTTATTTGATCTTCCTTCTATTAGTAGAAGAGAGGCTGCTAGAGATAAAAGAATCAGTTTGAACAATATGGTACTTGGATGATAATTTGAACTTCTACCAGGCTCTGAATGGTGAAATAATTCTATAGTGAGTTTCTTCTGGCAAGTCACTGAGGCGTGTAGTTGTATAGGCATTGGCACATGACTTAAAAGTAGCCCTTTAAATCAGGATTGGACAATGTTTCTGCTGGGGTGTGGCACACATTTAAAAAAAATGGTTTCCAGCCCCTGAAAGCTACAGGATACGTATTCAATGACATAGTTACAATACTGGGAGTAAGACAGATTAGTCCAGCCTTTTGAGGGACAGTTGCAGGAGAGTTTAAAGGCTGAAAACGAATGAGTTATTTCTTAATACACTTATTTTAAATCTTTTAAAGGATAATGGGAATTGCCATAATCCCCCTCCCCCCCAAATGGATGCACCTATTAGGTGTAGCATCATTTTAGTCTAAAAGATTTCTGGCTGCCTTAGAGATTGCCCTTTGCATACTATATATTCAGATGAAGTTAAATATGGCCAGCACTTTAAAAAAATGATTGTATTTCATGAGTGCATCTCAAGTTAAGACGTAAGAGGATTTTGACATAAGTATTGTTCTCAATATGTAAGTATTGTTCTCTTCAGTAGTAGAGAAGTACTGTAGAAATGTAGTGTAGTAGAAATGTAGTCAGAGACAGGATTCAGTATTTTGTTACTACAGCTCTGCATACTATATTACTGCATTTGGAAAGGCAAGTTTAGAAGATGTGTGGTTGTATCACACTAATTTAGAACGTCTGTACACTGCATATTCATAAATGGCCACTCTTACAAGTTTCTACTTCAAAGTACAAAGGGTGTAACTCACTTGAGTCAGCAAGAATGTGGAACAAGCTGTTACTGAGCAGAGAGATAATGTTTTTGTAGAAGAGAATCTTCCTTTTGTAAAGATTTGATCAACTTAAAATTATCTATAGCTCAAAATCTAGAAGGAAAGCAAGAATGAGTTTTCTGGCTCTTAAAGACTTAAGTGTGAAGTCTTAAGTGTTAAAATTGTTTAGACTCTGATCCACAAAAGCTTATTTCCAGATACATTTGTTTGATAGCATTAATGCTTTCAATATATCTGTTGCTATCCTATCTTCACTTTTGTTGTGTTGTGCATATGTAACACCCAATGATGTAATTTAATGTTTTTATCCCATTGCTGTACAGTGTTGAAATGGATAGGGTTGTACCTTAATATTATGTTGAAACCCCAAACTGATCAGCCCATCTGGGAGAGCTAGTGTTTAAGAACAAAACTAATCTGGGTGAAGGATAATTCATCATTATTTATACTCACAGTAATGATTTGAAATGAGTAACTGCTGAAGATCCAGAAAACCAGCAGTGATTCACTCCTGTGTAAGACAACAGAATTAGATAGCTGTTACTCATTTTTTTAGCCTTCTCTGTTATATGAACAATTGCAGATGCTTTCATGAAGTTTTCTTCCTGTATTCTGGCTTGTGCTAGGGAATTAAGAGCTTAGGGAAAACAACAATGATGGAACATATGTTGTTGTTGACAATAGGTGGCAAAAAGTAAAGGTTCTTTGTAAGCATCTTTTTAGAAACTAATTCTATCACCTTTGATAGATTTTATAATGCCTACAAAAAATTCATTTTCCCCAATTTAGCAGTTCCTACAAAAATATTCTTCTCAGTTCCCTGTATTTCCTCCTTGACATTGAAGGGGTTATTTCTTCCTACTCAGAGCAAGAATTTTCAAAATCATAGTAGAAAACACACACAGAGTCCACAAGGGACACTCTTATTGTTTGTCTTCACTTCTGGAGCAGCTGATCAAGTCAGCTCAGACTTATAAAAAGGTTAGAAGCTGTAAAGTGAGAATGGTTGCCTCTCTTGATGGCTAGAAAAGACCAGTGAGGCCTCTGAAGTGGTATGGTGGCATGGGTGGGAAAGTAGGAAGTAAAAAGGGTTCTTTTATAAGTAGGAAAATTAAGAAAAAATTCTTGTGTCAGTTGAAAATGTGATATTTTCATAGACAGTTTTAAGAATATAAGATGTGATCAGGATTTTTGTTTTAGTACAGCAGCTATCTAGGCACTTTTAGAAAGTGCACAATGGGTTTGAAGAAAATAGTCTGTTGACATTCCTGTTGTCTCTCGTTCTGGGGTAGCATATAACCTGATATATAAAGATAGCTTTTTTCTGTCCTGTCTCATTCTCATAATATATGAAGTGATCTGTTTGTGATTAGACTCCACTACCACAAGGTCAATAAAATTATATAGATCAATTTATTTGAAGATGGCAGCTTTTACATCTTCTGGGTAATGTGAAATATATTCAGGATAAAAAGGTAGAAAGAGAGGGAATGAGAGAAAAGCTCAAATATATATATGAGTTAACATTGTATTCTGTGGACTTCAGCCACCAGAAATCTCAGTGTCCTGCCTATGCCGCTTAGAACTTAACTTTAAATATACTCGTGTTTAAATTTTAAATTTTAGCTGTATATAAAATTAGTGGCATATTAAAATAGTATTTTAGTGCTTAACTACTAATTAATTACAGCATTAATAGATACAGTACTTTATCAAATTAAATGACCAGCTTTTGGGGATCTTAAAACCACACACATTTTTAACTTTCTGTTTTCCTTTATGTGTTTTATTAATTGTCCTGCTATTACATATACTTTTATTTATTGTAATTTTACAGAAACTCTTGTATTTCAATTATAGGAGATCTGCAATCCTACTTCTAAAACTATACATTATTTTGGTCAGTGACTGCACTAAGGCAGTCATTTCTTCAGTCAATAAAACTGAACAGGCTGAAATAAAGAAGAACATCTTAAGTCCTTTCTTGAAGATAGAAATTGTAGGCACTAAAGGGCATTTCATAGCTTGGAAGTGAGACTGCAGAAAGCTGTCTCTATACTTGACAAACAGGAAAATATATTTAACGAGGCAGCTTCTCCTGATCTTAATGCCAAGATAGGTTCATAGGCAGTACCAACTAAGTTTATTAGTTTTTTAAAGCACAGTAACATGGATGTTTTGTCTCTGTGTGTGTCTGTTCTTCACATTTGTTTATGCAATTGTACTATGAATTTTGCTGTGTAGCACAAAACAAGTAACCTTTTTTTTTTTAAGTTGATGATTGTAAGTGTTAGGGTTAGGATTAGGAGTATCTAACCCTAACCCTAACGCTAATCCTGATTTTCATTAGAATGAGAATGATTACTTTATTTTAAGACTAAGTTTTATAGAATCTGATTGTGATTTCATTCAGCTACAAAAGAAAATTAGCAGATTAATACTGATTGTGACACAGTATTTTACAGTGACTGTGTGATGTTTTTATAGTAATTCCCGAAATTATCTGTCTTTTTGTACAAAGTATAATGATATTTTTGTTCTGTCCTTCATTTTTAAAGCCAAGGTCCCCTGTCATCCATTAAAGCAGCAATCAAGAGAAGTAAGTAGATTTTTGGACTGTCATATCTACCTGATGAATGCAGAAATGATGAATAAATGTTTATTAACATTTTCATTAAACAGACTGAAAATGCTTTAGTTTTAAGTGGCTTAACCATTGCAGATGCATTATGTTTCTTATCTGTACTTTATATCATAGATATTTCACATTCCAGGGCTGATTATCATCATTTTACATGAGCTGATTCTTGTTTAGTTCAACAGATAAAATTGATCTTTTTGAGTTCTTTTAAGTTGAATTCATGATAATTCATCAAAATTATGTAATTATGTACGACATACTTTTGACAAAAAAATGAATGTCTTATTCAGACTAGTTGTTCCCGTCCCACCCAATACACCTGTTTATAGAAAAAAAATGTTGATAAGGCAGATTATTTTAGATTTATTTCTTTGCTTATATTTTACTATCATTTTCTAGTATAAAAACTTGAGCTGAATTACAATGTTTTATTTAGTCACTGCATAAAACCAGAAGCAGCCTGGGCTTGTATTTCTCATTTTTTTCCCCAGCAAGTCAGCAAGAAAGGCATCAGAAGTTCTGTTTTATATTATCTGCAGGTTAGCATATTGTCTGATTTCCATTCCAATCAGAACAACAGTTGGTTGTTCTGAACAAGTCACTGTCATAAATTATAACAAGAAATTGGCCAACATTTCTCTGAATTTGGATGATGAGGAAATTTATGGTTAATCTAAAACAAACTTTTTCAAGAATTCTCTTTGTAAAGGAAGAAGAGAATGATTATTCCAAAACCTGCTATGGCTTGTTACTGTAATGCTGAGATATGGTTTAATGTTAATTCTGAACCAGAATTAGAAGCAGTCTGATAGAAGATGTACTACAGGATCACTATTGAACCAGAATCCAGAGGAAAAGAGTCTGGTTCTCGCTTCTTCTATCTAATAAATGACAGAATAATATCCTATTTATTTTTTAGGTGAACCTATAAGCGCATCATTGTATTTAGTGGCTGTAAAATTATACTGTGATATGGTATAGCAGGATTTTATTAGTATTCATTTGACCTTGGATAGAGTTATTTGTGTAGCTGGAGAGATTTATTTATTTCTGGTATTTTTATGCCACTTTAGTCGGTACAAATCTGAGCAGCTTACAATATCAGTAGCTTATATAATACTGTCAGCAAATGAATAAATATCAGTTTATTTATAATATCAACAACTTATATAATAGCATCAGCAAATAAATATCAGTTGATAACCACATCTTAATAACATAACCTTCTCATAATCAGTCAAGAATTGTACGCTTTATTAATAGTCCTGGAGGACTCTCAAATTGTGCACCAGCTCTTTCTAGGGAGCACAGCCACATATCTACCTCAGGCTGCTTGGGAGATGTGATGTATTGATCCAGGGTCTGAAAACTGTAAGGGTTAGGACCTTAGCAAGATGGAATGGCTGATGGCTCAAAAGTCATTGAGTCTTTGACAAGGCCAACTTTCATACTATTCTTTGCATTGTAATAACTGAAAAATAAGAGTATTTGAAAAAGTATGAGCTCCTGTTTCCTCCCCAGTTCCTGTAAACCCAACAGTTCGAAAACTCACGTGAGTAGATAAATGAGTACTCTCA